TTTTTTTTTTTTTTTTTTACGTTGGGGCTGCCTGGAACCCTGCCCGCAGTGCCCGGGGGTCATGCCCAGCCGGGCACCCGGGCGTGTATCCGGGCACAAGTTGGGTGCCCAGGCGCCCGGAAAAACAACCTAGCTTTTCTTTTTTAATTCACAAAATTGAGCGTACAAAAAAACAGTATTTTATTTTTTTCATTTTTGTGTCCCCACGTCAGACGGTCTGATGGTCAGGGGTCGTGACAAAGCCAGATGATTGGACCCTTGGATGTATTTTGACGGTACTTAACGTTGAGATACATCAGATGGTCAAGGTGAGGTAACCAGTTTCTCACCCAATGAGCAATGACATTTTAACTGAAGTCCACTTTCGTGAATTTAGAAAAAGATGTCAGTTTGAATGAAATGTCCATTAGTAATAGTAATTTCTTAGATGATGACCAGCATTGATTGCCCTCATGCAAGGGAATTCACTGCCCATCTAGCCCCAACGATCAGCACATCATGTAACCACAACCCCTTACCCAAAGCATATCGTCAGCTTCGGTTATACGGAGACCTGAGCCAATGGATGCCTATGGAAGTTATACCAGGTGCTGATCCCATGTATCCGGCCCCTCTCATGTCCTCATGTCCCATCTGTCCCCCAACTATGTGACTAGGAGCCCAGTACGCAGGTTACAGAGCTTCCCCTACCATCCAGGGCCTCCAGCCTCTCAAACTGGGCATCCAATGCCAGAGCAAGATGAGTTGAATGTCATTAAGGAAAGGAGCGGGAGAGAGGCTAGGGAATGGTTTAGCAACGGGAGATGTCAGTTCCTTGCCCTAGGAGCTATCATCGGCTGCGCCGGAACAGTTGACATGAAGTTTCCATTGCTCGAGCACCTGGTCGAGGGATTCGAGATAGAAAAGTGGGAAGGAGAAGGCATCAGTAAGATGAAGGAAGTCTTAGCCAAAGAATTGACGGGATTGGATAGTAAGATTCATAAGGCACTCCATCCCGAATTCCTGTACAGGTTCAGCGAAGGAGCATGGATTGTAAGTTTGGGATACGAAAGGACGGGGTTGGAGTTTTCAGAGACCTGCAGAAGAGGAGGGGGAAGCTACTTGAGACTAGGTAGAGCCTGGAATGGGATCAGCCCGCTGAGAGAGAAGTTTGCGCCTCTCTTTTTTGAATTTCAGAAGATGGAGGAGCATGTGCTTTGGGCCGTACACAACAGTGATAAGCAAGAAGCAAGGAATGATGGGAATGGCGAAACTCTGTGCGGTTAATTACTCTAATTTCCCGAGTCATCAGTACCTATGTATCACCGCGCGGCCGCGGCCGCGGCCGTGGGGTCCAATGGCCGTGGAGGTCACGTTTGTGGCCGCAGTCGTGGAAGGCGGTCTTCAATCCGCGGCCACGATTTTTACGGATTTTTCCCTGGCGAAATAAAACATAAAAACAAATTAAAGAAAAAAGGGGTTGTAGGGTTTTTCAAACCCTACAAGTTACAGCTGCGAAAAAAAGAAGAAAAAAAACAAACCAAAAGAAGATTTTTTCTTTTTTCTTTTTTCTTTTTTTTGGTTGTGTATGTGTGTGTGTGTAAGTGCGTGCCCCGCCAATCAATCAATCAATCAATCAATCAATCAATCAATCAATCAATCAATCAATCAATCAATAGAAGAAAAAGAAAAAAGAGTGAGGAAAAAAAGGGCGCAAGATTGAGTGTGTGTGTGTGTGTGTGTGTGTGTGTGTGTGTGTGTGTATGTGTGTGTGTGTGTGTAACACACACACAGAGAGAGAGAGAGAGAGAGAGAGAGAGAGAGAGAGAGAGAGAGAGAGAGAGAGAGAGAGAGAGAGAGAGAGAGAGAGAGAG